GGCAAAATTTCCATTTGCAGTTTGAGCCATGAGAGCGAAAATCTGCCGCAAGCAGTGCATACCGTATCCCGTCGAAGACGATGCGGGGTAACATGATATTCACGGGAGAAATGGTGGCCACATGTGAGAATAATCTTCAGGCAAAGGAGGGGGGAGACTCACTCTAGACCGTTGCAGACGGGAACCCATTTCATTCCCCATCTGGGAATGTAATCATCACCAAGAAACATGTAGCCACTACTGCTGGGATCCGTGATGCAATGGCCAAAAACGTTGGAAACGATCTCTTGCTTGGCTAGCTGGGTAGTGAGGCTCATTGCCCCATTGCTGAGGCCAAGGATCCCATCGGTACTTGCTGGTGAGTCCAGAAGCTTTCCTTGTTGATCATGTGCACACCTAACAGATGGTACACAAATGGGCAGTTTGTTAGCATACAGACATCACAACCCATCTTTGAACACTGAACAGATTTGGTTATCCGAAAAACCCGAAGAAAAAGTCCATGTCTTCCCTCTCACCATCTGCGGTGATCAGCTGCATATTGTCCCCCGCAAGCACACCAGCAGAGGAGCTTCAGTCCGCGTATGCGATCTCGTAGTCGCATTGTTTGCAAGTGTCACAGTAATTTTGGTTGCCTTGCAATTCCCGACAATGTGAATCCCTGGGGGGAACTACGTTCTCTTTCGCGGGCTTATATAAGGGATAAGGTCCCTGTAATAAGATAAGAAGCCGATCAGGAACACTGTGAATTTTGAAAATCAGGCTCATGATGGAACACTGGAACCAAGATATCCAACAGAAATTGCATCGCGGCGAGGCCGAGTTCTTATCACGAGATGAAATGTGACTGAAAATGGTACTCACCTTTGTGCAGTTCGTGCAGGGAGCATCACACTGGATCCATGTCAAGGCGCTCCCGGTGTCGATGTCAAGAAAATAGGGCCTTGCAGGATTGCCAATATCTACAGAAGTGTAGTACTGCCTGCATATTAAAAGGTGGAGCAATCAGAAGAAGAACTATGCCATGTTAGCACTGAAATGAAAATCCACTGCATTCTTAATAAGTAACAGAATTGAAAAGCAGTTTTTTGTCAAATATTAATCATGCCAACAGAAAGATTAATCTGAACACCAAATGTTGACTCTGTGAGGTCTACGGTGTAGGTCTTTGCTTGTTGGTTTACAGGTAGCAGACATGCCTATATCTAAATACAGGCTTGTACTACTATTTTAACATCTGGATGGTCAAATATGCTTATAACCAAGCATGACAGAACAGAAATGCAACATTCCACAGAACACTGTTGGGCAAGTTGGTTAATTACCTTGACTAATTACTGCAAGAAAGGATTCAACTGATTCATGTGTGTAATTTTTTTGACAGATTATTCATGTAAAATTATTCGTAAAAAAAACAATATGAAAGAAATCAAGAACATTCCCTATTTGTTGTTGTTGTTTAATACAGAAATCAAGAACAAAGGTGAAAATTTGTTGAACCCATGCAGGTTAACCACAAAAAGAATCCAAGCAGCGAAAAGGAACAAATTGTGCCTTTAGGCTAAAGGGATTTTAATTCCTGCACCGGCTCGGCTCGTCGCACGCACCTCTCCGGCAGCACCGCCGTGGTCGAATCCGCCTTGACGCCGGCGGCCTTGGGCTTCGGGTGCAGCGGCAGCAGGAACAACGAGGCGCCCCCTCGCCCCATTTCCAGTCCTCCCCGGAGAAGGAGTAGAGGCCGTAGCAGTGCGTCGCCCGCGCGAACGCCGCCAGCACCACGAGCGGCGCCGACGTGGCCCTGCCGCTCATCGCCGTGGAGAGGAGGCGGCGACCGCACATGGGGTGAGCGAGTGGGGAGGAGGAAGAGGCGGGGCGCAGCCTCCCGTGCATAGCACCCGAGCCCGGGCCTCCTCGCAGCTCCCAATCTAGGAGTGGATCGAGCCGCCGCCAGCCTTCACGGCGCTGCATCGTCCAATCACGTGGTCTGGATCCGGAGGCGGGGAAAGGAAGGATGAGGCGCTGAAGGAGGAGGGGGCGAGGCGGCCGTGAGGGGCGGGGAGGAGGAGGAGGCGGCTGGGGATGGAGAAGAGGAGGGGAGGAGGGAGAGAGAGGGCTAGGTTTTCTACCATACGACCGCTGCAGTTCATCTTTTTTTACCCGAACTCACGCACACAACCCACACTGCGACGCCGGTCCCACCCATATGCCTGGCCAAGTCGTCATCTGCTCAAAACTGAAACCATGACGTGAGTTTAAACCAATGGCTGGATTTTTGACAGAGAGGTAAAACGTACAGAAAACTTTACAACGAGGCGGAACGGGTGGCCAAGATCGCGAGCGCGCGACGAAAGCCCAGGTTGGCGGGTAGTCTACCAAGATTTATATGTTCAATGGTCGCATCTCGTGTCTACGATCTCCAATGTATACTATCTATTGTAGTAACCAAATTTTCTTTGATGAATTGATATATCTCACCAACATATGAAACAACTTATTATTAATTTGCCAATTTGATGTGTTTTTTTTTGAATTTCATTATGGCTCAAATCTGAAGAGGGAAACAACAAGGATAACTCCTTTTTATAGCGTGTTTGGTTCAGGGGAATTAGAGATGGGAAATGGGAGTTGAGGGGTAAGGAGATTAAAAATCCACTGTTTGATTAGAGGGAATGGGAGTTTAAGTGGGAAGGGGATTGGGAGTTGGGGAAGCCAATTCCCACCGATTTCTTCGCAGGGGTACCCTGTTAATTTGTGAGGAGAGTTTTATCCCACGCCAATTTCCATCATATGCCAAACAAGGGAATGGGAGTAAAAATCTACTTCCCATGCCTAATCCCTTCATAAACACCCTTGTGCAAACTCCCATTTCCTTGCCCAAGTGTTTACCAAACAGGCTGTTAGTACAAGCCAATTGATTCAAGGACCAAGAATTATCAATTTGTTCAACCAATATGGTGGTCGCATCAATAAATTCATCTCATCGGTAATGTTACATTATGTCCCTAACAAATATAATAATGGAACTTTAGCTATTTTCACCACTAGGTATATTGCCATACGGCTTGACGTCTGAGTGGCATTTTAGCTATTTTTACCGCCAGATATATTGGCATACATATGAGTCATACTATACTCAACTTGACATATAAGAATTTTCCCGCCCCCTCATGCTCAAATCCTGGCTCCGCCCCTGGGCGTATATAGCAGGCGCGTTATTTCACCAACTCATATTTTGCGGAAAATGGATGACTGCAGATGCATCGTCATTCTTCATTTACCAGTGGATGCATGCCCCCATGCCGGAGTACACACCGAGGCATGCATCTAGAGCAGATCAGCGTGCCCGGTTGCCTTCCTTTTGCGTTGTGCGTGTCGACCAGCAACATGGAGTGGCAGAGACAACCCCATCGGTGGCTCCTCTTTCGTCTCCAGCGGCGACTTCGCAAGCATGATTAAGAGTTGAAGACCAACGGCGAGATCGAGAAACCGGGCATCACTGTAAGATGGGATAGAAAGGGATCGGTGGAATCGATGGATTGTTCACGTATTGAATGAACCTCGTGAGCTATAGGAGTACATAATCATTTTGAAGTACAAGGCAAGGTAGAATAAATCCTATGCTATCCTACATTTCCTAAATAACCATGATACTCAACACCCTCCCGTAGTCATAACGGTAACGACGTAGATGGTGAGACTTGAGAAGAATTCAAAGGTAAGCCGACGGACATCGCCCACCCCCACAGTCGTAACGGTCAACGCACCGCGAAAGTCGTCGCCGGAGTGGAAACCGATGAGGTTGCTCAAGCAAGGCGATAACCCTTTGTGCCGATGTCGATGATTTTTTTTCAAAACTATCACCTTTTTTATAGCTAATTCGGGAACTATAGTACCCATTGCGAATATACCAGAAATATGACCCTGTCGGTCTCGTGGTGGCCGAAGTGGTAGTTTTCGGCCAGAACTAGGCCGAAAAGGACTTTTCGTCCAGCTGTAGGCCGAAATGAACCACAGTTGGGCCGAAGAGGTCTCGTCGGTTGGGGCTGGGCCGAAAATAGTAGCTTCGGCCAGGCCTAGACCGAAGTGGGCCGTTTTCGGCCAGCCTGCAGCCGAACAGCTTTTCGGCCAGGCCTAGACCGAAAAGGTCTGGATGAGGCCAATCCCGTCGTCGCCTTCCTCTTCCTGCTCGCCTCTTCTTTCTCTCGTTCCTCTCGTTCTTCTCTGTAGAGCTCCGGTCTCCTCCCTGATCTCCTCCAATTTGCACTCATTTACACAACCAAGGCACAGAATAGATAGATCATAGCATTCTCCACCGGCCTATGGTGTTTTTTTTGTTATGGGATAGTTTTTTGTGCGCTTGGGGGAGGAGCCATGGTTGGGTGGAGGAGGTCCGGTTGGGAAGGAGGTGGTGGTGAGGAGGAGCAGCAGCTGTGGAGGAGGAGGTGGTGAGGAGGAGCAGCAGCTTGGGGGGTGACCGGAGTTGAACCTCCGGCCGTCGAGTGGGCGGCGCTGCCGTTGTCCGGTGGCCGGTGCCGGTGACCGGAAGAGACGCACGCTTCGAAGGTATAACCATGGCGTCACAAATTTTCTCTAAATTGTATAGTTTATTAGTTAGTGTTAATATGTTTGTGGTGGCATTTTAGCGCGTAGTCAGTGTAGCGGGTAATATTAGTGTTCGTTGTGATTAATGAGAAGATGACAATGTCTGACAGGTGAAAATGTCTGAATCAGTAAATTTGACTGTTTACTACGGCGCTGGTAACGTTCGATATAATGAGTTGGGAGTTGATCTTAGCGAGTTTAAAAATGGCGTCATGACACTAGCAGACCCGGACAGACTGGACATTAGATAATTGAAGTACTGGTTGACAACTAGTTTCGGGCTTGATCCTGAAGTATGTTCCGTCAGTATTCACGCATTGTGGACCAAATCTTGTAAAAATGTCAAGTGGGAGTTGATGCCGGTAGATAGGAGCCAACATTGGTTGTCCCTGTTAAGACGCTGCCGAGACCGAAGAATCCACCCATATGTACTTGTGCAACCTGTGCCGAAGGAGGAGAATGCCGTACAACTCCACAGGGGGTATGAAACCGGTCAGGGCAGTGAAGTGGCGACCGAGATTGTTTTATCCGGGTCACAGCCACAAGATGTGTATGCTAGCCAACCCGAGAAAGAGTCGGAGTACGTGCCACACAATGTTTGTGGTCCTGATACTGGGCAGAGTAGCCAGTCGATAATATTAGCTGGTTCTGGTTTTGCTGATGGAGATGAGGAAGGAGATGAAATGCAGAGGGTGATGAAGCAAGAGGACGAGGATGGATTGGTGGAGAAACTGGATTCTGAAAATTCTGTGGATGAAGTGGAGGTACCGATTACTTCTGCATGGGAGCAGGACATATCCACTGGCCTTACGGTCAACGATGGCCATGAGACTCCATGGCAGTATAATCTGAACCAAGTACAGATAGGGGCTATGTTTGATACAAAGAAAAAATTGAAGTATGCGGTGATAAAGTGGGCTATGTCTACGCAGAGGGTT